GTGAAGTGAGGCCGAGTGAGGTGAAGTGAGGAAGCGTAGAAGTGAAAGTGAAAATGTACAAAAGTGAAAAAGCCGGAAAGTGAAAAGTGAAAAAGCGGAAAAGCGGAGAGGCGATACCCCGATACCCCGGTAGATGCGAACACTTTTATAGCGCCAATTTGGCACGCGCCTTTTAAGCCCTAGAAAACTTTGCGAAAAGAGCGCATTTTTGGCGTTCTGCGATCGTCTTTTGTTCAAGAAAGCGCCAAAAAGGCGCTTTTCTCGCGAAGTTTTCTAGCGCTTATAAGGCGCGTGCCAAATTGGCGCTATAAAAGTGTTCGCATCTACCGGGGTATCGCCTCTCCGCTTTTCCGCTTTTTCACTTTTCACTTTCCGGCTTTTTCACTTTTGTACATTTTTACTTTCACTTCTACGCTTTTACGCTTCCTCACTTCACCTCACTCGGCCTCACTTCACCTCACTCGGCCTCACTTCACTTCTCACTTTTCCTCACTTTTACGCTAACTGGATATCTTCCAGGTGCCGTGTTTGTGCTTTGGGGGCGTAGGCCCGCGCGCACCGCGCACGCCGCGACGCATGCATGCGATAGTCGTAGAGACGCGGCGGGTGCGATGCGATGACGCGTGATCGGTGATTGGGACTCGACCGGGGCGGGGCGGGGCAACCCAACCGACACGCCGCGGGGGGAATGACGAAAGCGGTCGTCAACAAGACGAACCCATTCCAGATTCCGGCTCTGCCCGGCGGTCAAAAATGCCTACCTCTGCACAATCCGGGTTCGGTCTCAAACGCTGGCTGGACCCTGCTGACTCGTCTCAGTGTTCCAGGAGAACTGACTCACATATCGTCTTCGCGAGTTTTGAGTCAGTCTGGAAGGTCGCGGGGAAGTACAGTACAGTGGTGGGTTGCGCGTCGCGTTCGGTGAACTTTATCAGTCTCTCTGGAGGCGAGGTGACGTCCACAAAACCCGTTTTTAGTATTGTTTGTCTTGGAAAATAAAGACGACAGACGCGCACTGTGCGCGTGGGGCCTGCTTTGAAGGTGGGACACTGCCGGCCGGGACCCTCGGCTACAGGACAGGATGTGGACTGGAATCCAGGTGACATCCTTGGCGTCCGACTCTAGCGCGAGCAGTTGGGGGCACCCTGCCAGGAAGACGGACGGCTTTTTGGATAAATGCTTTTTTGGAACGGCCGGCAAAGGGGAGGGGGGAGGGGGGGCAAGAGGAGTGCGACTTCGACTCGCTCCTGGAGAAGTGCAACTTTCACACATATCGCGCTGGCGGAGGTTGCGCGTGTCCTTGCGTCTGTCGTCTGTGGGTATGTCGTATCACCAACCCTCGATTAGCGTCGGGTCGCTATCAGGCGGAACAGAGGGCGCCGCCGGCCGCTCCTCGCGGGAGGACAGTCGGCTCGCGGAAACTTGCGCCGGCGGACGGTCGGGCCGCGGGTCGGGCTTGCGGGCATCGCGTCTCTGAACTTGGGCCCCGCGCGCGATGTAGCGCAACGCCGCAGGTGGGTCAAAGAACAGCGCGGGGGGCGGGAAGGAGCGCGCGGCGGCAGCAGCCTCCCGCTGGGCTCTCCCGGGAGAAGGAGATGGAGCCCCGTGGTGCACTTCCCTGACGTTTGGCTGGACAGAGCGCGCGCCGCTTTCCACTGGAGTCCTCCATCGGGACTTTCCACCACTCTGGCGACGGCGCGCGCCGGCTCGGCCCGGCTGGCCCGGCCGGCCGACTCCTCCGGCGGAACCTTCCACCCGTGGCGACGTCGTGTCCGCCCTGCTCCACCACGCCTCGCCGCGCCACGCCGCCGGAGGAGTCGAAGGTCAATCGATGAGGACGATGGCGGCGCCAACGTCACAAATATTAAGGCGTGTTGGGGCACGCGAGGGAAGCCCCCCGGTGGGCCCCTCCTGGAGGACGTGAGGGGGGCCCGGGCCGAGCAATCAGGCATGGCGATGGGAGAGAGAAACCCGACCATGGGACGTGTGGCTAGCGGTGGCCACGGGCGGGCTCCGCGGCGCGCCGCAGGCCAGGACCAGGAGGAGGCCGCAGGTAACAGCTGACTGACGACCTTGACGCGAGCAGCCACGTTCAAGCGTGACCCGCGCCGTTGTAATTCCCTCAAGTGTCGAAGATCGCACGTGGAGATTGCCGGCGTCATGAGTCACACTTTGCCGCTCTCGGCGCCCTGCTCGCATCTCCCGCTCACTTCCGCTCGGCGTTTCATCATCGCACGCTTTCAAAACACTACACATCATACATACATAACAACTGGCCGCTCACCGGCCCGCCCCGTTTCCACACTTTCCCTTCGACATCCGGTACAAACCACTGTCCACTATGGGGAAGTCCCAACTTTCATCTGACTCTGCAGCAAAACTTGTAGAACTGTCTTTGCATAGCCCTTGCTTATGGACCGGGGCATAAAAAGCGAGATTGGAAAAGGTACTCCCCAGCCCACCTTTACACCCCCTTCCCCACCTCGTACTCCCCCGTTTCTCCCCGTCCCCCATACATACCTAACTGAACGGACAGTTCCTCCTTGCTGACATCGCCAATGTCACCCATAATGGTCCACTGCCGGTCTGCTGTTCGACGATAACGCGTCTCCCTTCGCTCTCGCTTTGTCTCCGTCTCCGAATCCGAACCCCGCGACCCGTCTCGTTGCCGGCAGCACCGGTACTGGACTGGCCGGCCGCGGCTGCCTCGCTCAGGCCCGCCGCCGGCGCGAGCGCTCCACCAGTTACGCCCAGCTGCCGTGCCCCCCACCCCCTGCTTCCCCCTCTCACTCTCTTTCTCTAAAAATCCGTATATCCATCTCGCTCCCTCACTAGAGCGGCCTGACGTCGGAGCAGCACGACTTGCTACGGCGTATTCCATGCACAACACCTCCCACTTCCCTTTACCCCCCCCCCCTTTCCCCTCTGCATAACACCCTGCTCGCGGTGGTACCGGTACTCGGTCTTTCGGCTCCCGTGGGATGCCTCTCCCGGGCCTCCTGGGTCCTGGGGCCGTGCCTAGTTAGGCCCGCTTACCCAGCAGGACAAGCCCCGGCCAGCGCCTGGCACCGCTGTGCGGCGGGCAGCTGCGGGCAGCTGCGGGCAGATGATGGCCCGACCACTCATGCCCAAATGGCTCGCCCATTTTAGACCTGCCCTTGCGGTGATTCCACTCCAGCTCACACTGGCTAGCCACAAACACCTTGGCTATCATTTCTGGGATAGCCTACTTTCTCTCCGCCTATCGCGCCCTCGCATCTAATAATTTTTGCAGACCTTATTACGCATTGCCACTTCCTCTAGAGTAAACTTGATCTAAGACCGACCGTGAACCTTCATTGGATTGCCGAGGAAACATTCCACCATGCTCAAACGTGCATGAAATGAATGAAGAATGACCTACGCTCCATGCGATACCCCAGATGATGCCAGATGGGTTGCCTATGCGGATTAGGCATTCCCCATAGCATTCCTCGAGTTTCTAACCTTCTAACCACGGGTAGCGGGTAGTCCGCACATCACCTCAATGCCGCTTTTCATTTTCTCCTTCATTGTGTCGTAATCTTGTAGTTATCTGATGTTTTGGTTCTGTAATTGTTTGTAATTAGTGTCCGCCAAGATATATATAAGTAAATCTGTGTGTACTCCAAAACTTCTCATACTTCTACTATGACGTCATTTCGTCTGCACTCATTTTCCCCCGAGACCAACCTCTGAGAAATGAAAACAAGTGTTTCAAATCACAACAGAGAGAACAGCATGAATTCAAATTATGATTGTGGATTTGTTTCTTAACCAACTGACTGACTGATCGATTATGCACTGATAGCTTTTTATACTGCTATGCTTCTAAACCAGTGTTTATAATGTCCGGAATTTTAGAGAAAACGATTGAGTCCCTTAACACTCTTCTCTCTCCATTGAGTACAAGTGTAGGGTTAAGCACTAAGTCTATGTTTGAAAGATGCATGTCTGCAAGAACAAAACGAGTAAGTGTTATAATCAATTAGTAATCTCATCAGTTTTGGCTTAACACACTTACGGCTTTTTCGTATAAAAATTTTGCTATCAAGGCACTTAGCTTCAGGACAAATCACCAAATACCATTTAACTAACTCATCTTTTCTCAAAGGAAGAAGAATGGTGTTTTCAAGATTCTTTAAGATCAATTCAAGAGCGGCTATCAGAACCTGCCGTTAGGCCGTCAGCTGTTAAAAAAATGTTGTCTTTTGTTGTGTTTGCTGAAATGATGGGGTACAAAGCAGAATTTGCTTATATTCATGCTGTCAAACTTGCCCAGAGAGGTTCGCTTGCAGAGAAAAAAATGGGTACGTGTTATAATAAAAACTTCTACCTTTAATTCAGTTTCAGTCTTGATAAAGTCCTGAGCAAGATTTTTGTATTTTAGGGTATATGGTGTGTGTTAATCTATTGAAAGATTCTCATCAACTTTCTATGCTACTTGTTAACACTATAATTCGAGACTTGGCGAGCCGTAATATGGTGACCATTGCCATGGCTCTTGCTGCTACATGCCATCTCATACCTGCTGATCAAGCCTCTTCTGTCCTTCCAATGGTTGCTGATAAGCTTACCCATTCCAATGTTAGTGTGGCGTTACGATTTTATTGAAGAGTGGTAAATGTGTCTGGTATCTATTCATAAACAATTACTTTAAAATTTTGCGGGAACAGGAATACATACGAGGGAAAGCAGTGATAGTCCTTCATCACTTTCTTCGCATCTGTCCAACTCAAGCTGTGCACTATATCCATCGGGTACGAGCTCTTTTAGGAGACAGTGATCCTGGAGTTGTCGCATTTATTCTTCAGTATCTTCTTGACTTGAGGCAGGTGAGTAACCACAGTGGTACATCACATGCAAAGTTGTTTGTTTCTTTCCATTTCTTGTCATGCAAGTTGTTCAATAGGAGGAAGAGGAGGTGACAAAAGGTCTCTGTTCAACTGTGGTTTCCATCCAAGAACAAATTCTACATGGCAAATTGCCTAAGGATTACCTACATCATGGTGCATCAGCACCATGGACACAATTTACAATAATTAGGTAATTTTAAGAATCTATAATACTTAAAATTATTTTGACTAGCAGCTTATCACAAGTTTCTCTTTCATGTTGTTTTTTCTTCAAATTCCAGATTAATTAGGCAACTACAACCACCCATATTAGAAGTTCAGAAAATACTACAAGACACACACAAGGCAGCATTAGGTGATGGAAGTATTGGCTCTTGCTCAAATTTATCAGCAGCTATTGCCATTGAGTGCTTGGTGACCATGATGGAATTAGGTGTGACATCAAGCAAATTCAAGGCACTAACAATGACTACCATTGGGACACTTCTGATAAGCCACAATATGAACTATAGGTATTGAAATGTTACTACCCTTAGTATTCAGTATTACATATCAATCTTTTCTATCCAAAGCTCATTGAATATAATGTTGTTGTTTTTTTATTTTTTTTATTTTTTTTAGGTATGAAGGTTTAAATCTCCTTCAGTCTTTGATTTCTCACCAACAAGTCAATCTTACCCGGGACCAACAGGCTGTTGTGATGCGCTGCTTGCAACATCCAGATAATGCTATCAAAATAAAAACCCTGCATCTGCTGTGTAAAATAGCTGACAGCAGCAGTGCTGAAAGTATATGTGATCAGGTATGTTTAAAGGCTGTATAAATTCTATTCACTATGTAAAATAGTAAATATCTAGTCTAACAAGCTTATCTAAAATCTTTCAGATTATTGATTTCTTAAAAAATCACTGCACGAATTCTCTTCTTCAAGATGAACTTGTTTCATTGGGAATGTCTTTAGCAGAAAAGTATCCTAGCGAAGCCAACCATTGGCACCTTGCTGCTCTGTTGAGGTTACTACCTGTGGCGAAGGAACATTCTGCAGCCCTCCAGGCACAGCTTAAACTGGCCTTACTTGCAAGTATGCATTTTATCTAGTTTTAGTTCATCTCACAAATCTGTTGTTTTTTGTGGTTAATCTTTTACTCATGCTTTTTTTTCTTCTTCTTTTTTTTCAGATTTAGAGAGAGAATCATTTACTGCTCATGAAAAAGTTCTTTTATACCTGACCAAGCACTCTGAAAGTAAAGTTGCACCCACTGCTATCTTAGAACTGTACGTTTGGATGTTGAGCAACTTTCACTCCTTGCTGATCAAGGATAATGATGCTTCTAATTTAGAAAAATCTCATATGTTGGCTTTAGAAAAAATTGTTGCTCTTGGCCAGAAAGTTTATGTTAATCAAATTCAAATGAGCCTTGAGATAGTCCCCCCTAGGATACATAAACTTCTATATGAAATTGTGGTTGCATTAAAACTCTTAGTTGTGAGAAATGTTGAATACTCTCAAAATCTTGTTCAATTTTTAAAAGATATTATAGCAGCATCATTGACTCGTGTGTTTGGTGATGCTGCTTTACGTTGCTTGTGCAATGAACTTCTTTGCCTAATTTCTTCTTGTCCTGAGCTTTCTCTACTGAATGATAACAGAGAAAAGCTGCTCGAAAACCCTGATTTTACTTTGTCTTTCATGGATGATTTTGTGTGTCAAAGTTTAGAAGAAGGATCCCTACCTTACAGAGCTTTACCAGCAAAACCTGGTTCTAGAGCTGCTGTAGAACTAGCTATAGAGATTGAAAAAAACCATGGTGAATTAGAACTCAGCGCTAGCAACTTAATAGCTGCTGGTTGCAGCCTGGGTAGCTCTGTTCTTTCATTAGCGGGTACCGAAAGTGCCAATAATCGAGATGGAAGCGTTTCGTCGGTCAGTTCAACAGAATCCAAATGTTGGACTTTTACTAGGTATGTTTTACTCCCGCTAAAATTGATAGACTCAATTTTTTTTGTTTGATCTTTTATTTTGTTCTGCTGCAGCCCAACCCAAGAGGTTGAACTAATGCCAGTTTGGACCAAAGAAGGTCGAATAAAAGGAGATGATTCAACTGAAGCTGATTCTTCCTTCAGTGCAAGCGCATCAGGACCTTCTGATGAAACCCCAATCGAGGTAAGATTTTTAACGAATTTCTGTGTAATTATCTTTTACCATTGCTTTCACATCGTCTCATTTACAGCTTCTGCCTGGGCCCTCTATATCTTCATGGCTTCAGAAGTCAATGGATGAAGACCCATTAGATAATCTTCAGAAGGATTTTAATCAATCTTTTGATGGTTTGGAATCACAGAAAGCTAAGTCAAGTTGATAAATGTTATCAGATTATTCTAATTATATCTCTAATTCTTGTCATTAACATCTTATAAGAATACCTCACTTTTATCCAAAAAGGTATTGTAAAACTGACCTTTTGCTTTTTTTCTCCTCCTCGTCTCTACAAAATGTTATTTTCTGAACTCTTTATTGAGGGATAAGTGCCTTTAAAATTCATAAAATAAGTGTGATATTCTGTAGTCTTAGAATTGTCTTAAAATCATTTTCCAGTCTCTTTTACTCTGGCTGTGAGAAAGTTCAATTACTACCGGTACTTAAATAGTTTTACTATGTGGTTTCAGGTACGAGTCCCTAATTTCATTTTTAGCAATGTAGTTTGTGTTAGTTAATCATGTGTTCAAATTGGCCAAGAGTCAACTAGATATTTATATTTTTGACTTGCCTGTTGTTAAAAACAAAACTGTGATGTATTTTCTGCAAATATATTATTGTAGTCATATTTCATTGTTTAGTGGATGGATCTATTGTGTTGATGTGTTGTTATAACGCAAAGTTTGGTTTCATATTTACAATTGATGTATATTTTATCTATTATCTACAACGACTGTGTTGATGTACAGTTCTTGTAACAGTTATAATTTTTACTTGTGCAAAGCCAATGTGTTTTCAGTCTTCAAGCAGGACTCAAATAGTGCTCATTACATACCTATTGTAATTCAAATACCAATCTTTGTAAGTTACAATAACTTAAAAAATTAATCATAACTCTTGACTTTTATAATTTGAATTAAATTGGAATCAATACTTAAATAGCTGGCCTTGTCATGTAAGACAGAAATGCAGAAGAAAATAGGCTATATATTGTCAATGTTAACATTGATTTCATTTATAGTGGAGACATCTGCTGGAGTAAATGAATCCAATGAAACAATTTTCTCAATTTGATTCGCAGTTGATCCTAACTTGTTGTTACTTTAGGGTTTAACAATTTTTTT